CAAGGGTGTAGTTCAGATAAATCCAAGGCCCAAGTTGGTCTGGACGCTTCTGGAAAGGTCGGGGACACATGTGCGGGGGCCCAGCCCTCCCCGTCCCAGCCCTCCCCAGCCCAGCCCACTATGCATTTACAGACAATGCACATTCACATTCCTCCCAAAGGCTATAAATAGTGCACGCAGCCAGACTGGAGAGAGGGAACAGGACGCAGAGCAATTCAGGCGGGCCGGCCGATGGGGGCCCCCAGACCGCCACCGCTGCTGGGTGACGTCAGGTGGCCCCCTTAGTCATGGTGACAGTCCCCCCACACGCATCCGGGGGACCCTCATGATTAAAGATGCGTCTGGGCCGAAGTGCTGGCGGAAGAGGAAGGGCAGTCAGGAGGGCATCAGGGACTCACCGGAAGAGAGGAGATGATTGTACTACAAAGGAGCCAGCAGCTTGTTATTAATATACATCCTCTGTGGTGTTTCCTTCACAACAAAGGCAAGGAACTGCTCTGTGGGAAAGCAAGGTTCAAACTGAGCGTGCCCATCTGTGTCAGGCTTGCATTCAGACACCAGTGAAGTTTCCAGCGCAGCCAGACTAACATGGGTGGGCGGGGCCAAATCGTAGGGGCCAGGGACCTGGCGCCAGTCACGGGGCGGCTTGCGTCAGCGCAGCGCAGGCATGGCCAGACTCAGCCCCGAGAGAGCGCTTAAGTGAGCCCTGAAGGTCGAGGCGCGCAGCTGAGCGAGTCAGGCGATCACACACGTTAGACCAGACGCTCCGCAGCCGGAATGACTCTGAACTCACACCCCACAGGGCCATAGAGTTCAAACCTCCTAGAAGGACACTGCCCACGTAGCCAGTCCTGGGTGATTCAAGGTGCTACTACAGACGGTGACTGGTGTCAGTTCACACGAGTGCAGAGCCAGACGCAGCGGCCATCAGCTAATGTGCAGACTCCTTACTGGAAGCAGAGAGCAAACCTCATATTTCTGCTCATGTGACTTCAGGCTTTGGAGCTGAGCCAAATTCTTTCCGGGGACCCAGAGCGCTCCTCATTCCGGGAGTTCTGACAAATCCAGGCCTTGCTGCGGGGTGGGGGGAGGATCTGACGCGGGAGGCCGGCATGTTCCGAGGATCCCATGAGAACACGAGGAGGAGGAGGAGCAGCAGTTTCCACCGGTACCTCACACCCTACTCACATCCAGAAATTCTTCAGAAGTCCCGGTTCCTATCCAAGGAAGTCCCAGTAGGACCACCTAGGCTGAGGGCAGACATCATGGAGACCACCCCAGATAGGAGACCCTTCAGCAGTCTGCAGTATGTATCATCGGCCACCTGTCTAGTCTTTCCTTCAGGGATGCAGAAGAGGGCGCCGGTGAGACACATGATGCCAGCTACCCTGTACACTGCATCATGTGACGTCAGTGATCCCATAAGCTGCACCCTCAGTGGCACCCCACTGACTGAGCGACAAACCAAACTGACCGGCAGAGGGATTCTGGGATATGCTGACAGCACCATGCAGAAGCCAGTGGGTTGAAAGCTGAGGGCATCCATTTAGGGAAGTTTGCGAGGTACAAGTATAAGAATCTGGGCACATGGCACCGAGCCCCATGGACATGTGCGTACACACACACGGGAACACACACAGACACATATAGAGACACACACACAATCATTCAGACACACATGGACACAATCACGCACAAACACACATGTGCACAGGTACGCACATGCTGGCACACACAAACACAGATACACATGTGCGCACATGCACACGCAGGCACACAGACACACACATACACCAGCAATAAGTTGCCCATCACCAGGCTCCTGGTTCCCATCAGACCTTTGCCAGGCTGGCTGATTGCTTATCAGTCTCTCAGGCCCCCTTAGCTGCCTAGCAACAGGACAGCCGATCGGCTAGCGGGGGGAGTAGCCATAGGTTAATGGGCTGGGAGGCTCCACTGCGGGTGGGGGAGCTCTCAGACACGATACAGGCCGCGTAACACCCCCTCCCCTGGCTGCTGCACACATCCTGGCAATGTTTAGGTATCAGCAGCGGAGCCCCGGGTTCCAAAGCATCAGCCCGGCTCACCCTTATTAGCAGTAATCCCCGTGACCCTGATGCTATCTGGGGGCCAGACGGGCGGAGACGTCACAGTAGTCATGGGAGTATGGGAGACGGGGGGCTGGGGCTTCACAGGCAGCACGGGTGAGAGTCACCATCTACACCAAAATCACTGGCCTGACACTCTGGGCTGCAGACCGTTACCATTGATTGAGAGTGTGTGTGATAATCACACTGTGCTAACGCAGTGTGCTACAAAGGTTTATTTCTTCTCCACTGGCTCAGCGTGCTTTTTTCTGAGTTGATCTCTCCCTACCTGTCAGTGGGTGCACTAAATAACTGACTCCCCCCTCCAACACACACACACACACAAATATAACCACTAGAAACTGGAAATAAACAGTGACAAGTGGTCTGGAAATCAGAAACTTAGTCAATATCACTCACCACAAAACCACATAAACAGAACATTAACTATTTACTATTTTTTAATTAATGCTCCTACTAACATATATGTTTATAACGCAGAGATACACAGATTGAGAGCCAAGCCAAGGGCAGCTGACCAATCACAGGAAAGCTTTTACAGCACAAGCATTCGGTACGTCCCATGGATCCAGCCGTCCAGCAGCCGTGGAATTGGCACGTATGCATACACATATGCGAACTGATGATAGAACGCACAGAACTATCCATTTAGCTGTGGTGTTAACACGACTATAGGTGATTATTTCAAAAAAAGTGGAGGAGGCTGATGGAGAGGGAGAGCCACAGAAAGGTCCCGCGACAGACACAGGTGATGACGAGAGTGCAGGTGCAGACAGGGATAGACTGACTGAGCCAGTAAAAAAGTTTTTTAAAAAAAAGGGTGTGACCAAATCATGTGCTGGTGTGGCCAACTAGTACCAGTCCTACCACTGGAAAAATTAGTCTGGAGCCCTGACACCTTCTGCAAACTGCAAACAAATCATACAGAATACAGCTTGCAGATGGAAAGATCTTCCTTTTTTTTTTTTTTCCTTGTTCCATCTTTACCCTGTTTAAAGCAGGACATGCTGTCTGCATAAGCTCACATGCAGCACTGGCACAGGCTGTGACATACAAGGACTCTTTCATTTACGATGAAAAAAATGACAGATATTTTCCCGGTTGCTCTGACGTGCTACTGAGTCAGCGCTCAAAGCAGCCTGTCGTGACTCCCAGTACACAAGTGTGCGTTTGTCTCGCCCGACCCACAGCGGGGCAGGTAAGTGAGGCGTAAAATTAACGGCCTTCCCCCAAATGAGAGCGGGAAACGGGGTCGCCGCTGCAGATGGCGCCGCGGTGCAGCAGGGTGTGGGCGCCCGGAGGGGGGGGCATGTTATTTTCTTCCCACCGCACGCCCAGCACCCCCACCCCCCCAGCGTGCTGTGTGGCCTGACCCACAGATGGGAAACTTCAGCAAATCAAGAAAAAAAGAGGGCTTTCGTTGATTTTTTTTTGATAGCAAGTTGGGCAAAACACCCAGGACTGCAGATTAGGCAAAGTCAGCAGCCCGCTTCTGGGGAATGCTGGCAAAAGAGGGGGGCAGGGGGGGCAAGATGGCCCCCTAACTTCCTGCCTGGTAAGTTTATGTCTCCTCGCACATCCTGTCCAGGGAAAGTCACACACATCCAAAGATCAAAGAGCCACTTTCCAGTGTTTAGACTGATTGGGCCCACAGTATCCTTCCCAGACCATGAAATTTGCAGCAGGCTGTTATTTAAAGAGGTCCAGACATTGTCGTCCCCTAACCCATCTAGGACAAAAGCAGCTCCGTGTTCTGGGTTCAAACCCCATGCCTCCTTCTGTCCTCCCCGGTCTGCGGCCTTAACATCGACTCGTGACAGCCTGCTGCATTTATTGTACACGAAACCAGCCAGCTGCCCTGTCGTTCCTGTACTCAGGGACACTGCTCTCATTTGCACAGCAGGCACCTGGCAATGCTGCCGATCGTGCTGCAGCAGAATCACAGCAGAAACCCACAACAACCCATAACATGCAATCCTCTCGCTCACGCTCCCCGCCTGGTGCATGCTGGGAGGCTGGAAGGTGGGTTAGGGGTTAACAGGTAT